TGGGGTGGACCTGCTGGAGTGCAGCTCTGCGGAGAGGGACCTGGGTGTCCTGGTGGATGACAGGTTAACTATGAGCCAGCAGTGTGCCCTGGCTGCCAAGAAAGCCAATGGGATCCTGGGGTGCATCAAGAAGAGTGTGGCCAGCAGGACGAGGGAGGTTCTCCTTCCCCTCTACACTGCCCTGGTGAGGCCTCATCTGGAGTACTGTGTCCAGTTCTGGGCTCCCCAGTTGAAGAAGGATGAAGAGCTACTGGAGAGAGTCCAGCGGAGGGCTACAAGGATGGTGAGGGGACTGGAGCATCTCCCCTACGAGGAGAGGTTGAGGGAACTGGGCTTGTTCAGCCTGAAGAAGAGAAGGCTGCGAGGGGACCTTATAAATGCCTACAAATATCTGAAGGGTGGGTGTCAGGAGGATGGGGCCAAACTCTTTTCAGCGGTGCCCAGCCGCAGGACAAGGGGCAATGGGCACAAACTGAAGCACAGGAAGTTCTGTCTGAACATGAGGAAGAACTTCTTCCCTCTGAGGGTGACGGAGCACTGGAACAGGCTGCCCAGGGAGGTTGTGGAGTCTCCTTCTCTGGAGATATTCAAGACCCGCCTGGACAATGTCCTGTGCAGCTTGCTGTAGGTGACCCTGCTTCGACAGGAGGGTTGGACTAGATGACCCACAGAGGTCCCTTCCAACCCCTACTATTCTGTGATTCTGTGATTCTGTGATCACTAATAAAAGGCACCGTGCTCAGCGTGAAATGGGGAAAATGAGGCAGCAGTGATCACTCTGACTTGGGCATAAAGAACTGCTCCTTTCCAGCGAGGTAACAGAGATCCAGCAGTTATTTTGCTGTAAAACTTGAAAAGAACCTGGGATACCTGCAGTCTTCATCATGACGCAGCCAGGCTAGCTCAGTACTCCCCTTTGTTAGGCCACTATCTATTTAGGCTTCAGTGAGACATCAGTGGTTTGTCACTATTTGCACAATAGGAGAGCTACCTTACACCAGGAATTGTCAGGATAAAGATGCATTTATTTTAGAAGAAATTGGGCCCAACTGCTAATTTGACCTCACCTCACATAAACTGGGAAAACTCATTACCTCTGTCTGTGCCGGAAAACATCCCGGCCGGACTGCAAGACTTCTTGACGAACATCTGCCAGAGCAGCCACTGCCCCTTGGGCTACTGCAGCAACTGAGCGATGCCTGTGACTAGCAGATGATGCTGACAAGCTCTTCCCCACCATGGCAGTAGGACTATGATTCACTGCTCTCCCGGAGCCTGGTTTGAAATGAGCAGCTAAGGCCAGGATCAACCTCATGATAGATTTCAAGTTCCCATCAACAATATCTGCAAGACACAAATAAAGCCAAGGACAATGCCATTAACACGAAGTTCCACCAGAGCTGTATCTGACCAGCAAGCATGAATATAGTTAAACCCAATGGGACCATGCCAGTAGACAAGGACTATGCAAAAAGGACTATGCAAAAAGAACTGCATTACAGCATTGATGCTTAGCTCTGCCCCCTACAGATCACAAGTTTAAATCCTTTGAACAGGCCTGAGCCTTCCCTCAACAGCCATTTCCAGCTTACAAATAGAAGGTTATGTGACAGCACATAATTACTGAATGCTCACTGAAAAAGTACATCAGTTACTGAAGGCTACCCCTGTACTAGCAGTCACTTAAACTAGCAAATGGAATTTGCTTTTTTTTTTTTAATACTTGAGACCAGATAACAGCAATGTATTTCTTCAGCAATATCATCCTGTACCACAAAGTGTCTGTAGCACCTTGCAAGTGTTAACTAGTCAGTTTTAATATCACACCAGGCATTTCCCCCAGCATACAAACGAAGTCAAACACATTGATCTCAAGTTCACTGCGAAGATTAACCATTCTTTCAGACTAGGATATCTCAAAACAATTTAGTCAACCGAGATACTCAAAGTTCATTAAAATAATAGGAATAGGGTTTCCAAATATCAGAGGCAGCCTAAAAAAAAATTGTAAGTGCTGGAGGCATGAAGGCTGGTTATTACTTGCTTTAGTATCCAAAAAATTAGAAATAGCCAAAATAAGTCAGTGACTGTTACCTCCACGTCATTCATGAAGAAAATGAAGCCAAAAGTTTGTGTGAATCATTTGAAGTCCTAGAATAAGTCAATGACAGAACTCTGAGTAGAGCTCTGGAACGTGTCAGAGTCTCATGCCTGTATCCTATCCTATGACCACATGACATCATTTCATTGCATATCCAGGTTGATACCTCTGCTTATTAAGGCTTGCTAATATTGCTATCATTTCTATAGTCATGAGCTCATAAGACAAATTGCAACATCACTGAAAGAAACAGTATAGACTCCAATCTGCCAGTAGTAGTACTGTGGGAATAGAACTCATTACCTATATTTAAATTCTAAGCCTCTCACCAAGGCCTATAAACCACCTGCTTGTACTCTTCTAACAAGGGCCATGCATCCCATGCAGTCCATCTCAGCATTTTCCCCCTCTTCCTCATCCGAAGGGCCACAGACAATCAGAACTGTATCCCCTCCCTGTACAGTCAGCAAACAGTAGTGATTGGGGCCTGTCTCCCACCCCACACATCTATACACACACCAGCAATCCTTGTGACATCTGACCAAACCATGCCATAGACATGTCATTTTGCATATTGGGTCTCCTCCCTATTTACAGGCCATAAGAAATAGTATCACAGGCTTCCAGTGGACCAGAAATATTTTCCCCATGTCTGATTTCACAGTAGCAGGTCTCTATGTCCTTTTAGTGAAAGATTATGAGTCTATATTCCTCATTACACCATTACCTGATTTCTGACTGCTCAGTAGCAGAAGAAAAAGCACTTTTGTTTCTGTGCACTGTGCTGCTACCAAAAGCAGTCAAGAACACAGTATCATTCAACCCAAAATCTGTTACTAAACCATAGTAGGAAAGAAACAAAAATTCTCCCACAAACCAATATGTTATCTGCTTGATATGAAGCAAAGACAGAAACAGGCCTTCAACACAAAATCATCTGTGGTGACTGCCCAGCAGCACATACCTTTTGCTGATGTCTGATGCATGCGGATCTTTTTTGATGCCACAAACTGTAAGACTTTCTCCACATTTTCCCTCATCTCCTGGTGGCTACTGGGGTTGACGTGAATGCCATTCAACTTCTCACCAGCTGAAGGAGTGAAAAAACTTTATTAAAGAGGAACTGAAGTGCTTGGTGCTGTCACAGGAATTGCTATAGATGTAGGGCCTGATCTTATCTCTTGTCTGGGTACTGCAAGAGGCACACATGGCTTCTTGTCCTGCTTATAAGGTATCCAGTACCAGGAATAACTAGGTTGGAAACTGAATTGGTCTTACATGGCAAGGTTTTGGGAGCAGGGGGGCTACAGGGGTTGCTTCTGTGAGAAGATCCCAGAAGCTTCCCCCATGTCTGAGAGCGCCAGTTCCAGCCAGCTCTAAGCCAGACCCACCACTGGCCCAGGCTAAGCCAGTCAGTGACAGTAGTAGCACCTTTCTGATAACATATTTAAGAATATGCTGCACAACAGCAACCAGGAGAGAGGAGTGAGACACACAACTCTGCAGACACAGAGGTCAGTGAAGAAGGAGGGGGAGGAGGTGCTCCAGGCACCAGAGCAGAGATTCCACTGCAGCCTGTGGGGAAGACAATGGTGAAACAGGTTGTCCCCCGGCAGCCCATAGAGGTCCACAGTGGGGCAGATATCCACCCTGCAGCCTGTGGAGGACATAATGCCAGAGCAGGTGGTTGTGCCCTCAAGGAGGCTGTGACCCCATGGAGACCACACACCGGAGCAGGTTCCTGGCAGGACCTGTGGCCCCATGGAGGGGGGCCCCCTCTGGAACAGTTCTTCTGGCAGGACCTGTGACCCCACAGGGGACCCACACTGTCTGTTCCTGAAGGACTGCACTTCATGGAAATGACTTATGCTGGAGCATTTCATAAAGAATTGTAGCTCATGTGAAGGACCCATGTTGGAAAAGTTCATGGAGGACTGTCTCCTGTGCATCAGAGCTCACACTGGAGCAGAGGGAGAATATGAGGAGGAAGGAGCAGCAGAGAAAATGCATAGTGAACTGACCACAACCGCCATAACCCACTCCCCTGCACTGCTCAGAAGGTAAAGAATTTGGGAGTGAAATTGAGCCTGGGAAGAAGGGAGTATCCCAGCAAGCAGGTCACTCTTTGAAAAATGCCACACTAACACCATTTTTCTGCAAGGTAAATCCTTGCATAACCCCATTTCAGCCTCATGGGAGTTGCTACGGTCCCTGACAGGTTTTAGCACATATGTAATAACTGCCCGCTAAAACATAAGGATTTTAACAGAGTTGTATTTATGATTTGCTTTATGATTGTTTTCTTTTGAAGTCACTCCTTCCCCACCCCTGCAAGTTCAGACACAGTCATTAACATCTGCCAGTATGCCTGACAGATGTCAGAGCCAAGGCCAGACTCTTCTACACAAGATCTAAAACTGCAAGATGAAAAATAGTGCCATATGGCATTACTGACCTACAATCTCAATGAGCAAAGCAAGAATGACTCCATCTCGAAGATCCTGTCTCAGGTCTCGGACCGGCTTTATTGTTGGCTGCTTCTTCAACTGGGAATTCACCCAGGCCACATATGCCTGTAGCTGTTGCTGAAAACAGAAAAAAAAATGTTTGTACGTCATTGCCATTTCAGGGGGAAGTTGCATAGCTCTCACTTTTCTCTTTCATCTTCACAGATCTGGTTGTCTTTTGCCCTTGAAAACAAACACCAGTGGTCTCATCTGAAAGCCTGCTGAGCACTAACTGACATCACTGCACACTGTGGTACAGCTCACTCCTCACCAGGACAGGAAGAGAAAGCAGGCAACACAACAGGACTCATGAACTAAGCACAGCTGAGAGGACAGCTTTGCTTTACATTACATTCAATCTAGGTTGGTGCCAAACCAATGTTGTCATCCCCTCATTTTTGGTGCCAGAACTGGTTCACTCACAGCATTTAGTGTCCCTTCCACACTATTTTCTTATACATATCAAGAAAGTAGAAAAACTACAATGCAGAAGCAAGAAACCCTGTGTTATTTCCCATTAAACTAGGCCATCCAGCAAAAGAAACAACCAGGGCAGATTTCCTGGAAGAGGCAACAGCCTCCCTCCATAACACTCACAGCATGGCTCATTTGTAACTGTCCATGCAATAGCAAAGAGACACCCTGTTGTACAGCCCCCTTCCTTCACTTCCTTGGAGCTGCATCAGCATTTCTAATGGCCCCATTTCTATTTCTGTACATGTGGAAGCTGGCTTACCAGAGCACTTAACACCTGCAAGACCCGAGAGCAAGAAGCACTGCCTTTCCAGCAGCTCACACAGGATGCTGCTTCATATAGCTTTGTATGTTGCCACAAGGGAAAAAAAACCTCAGGCTTCTGGTCAGCATGAGGACCCACCTGGCATTAGTGACTGAAAGGTAAAGAGCACATTCACATGACCTTTCCCTTTCCATTCCCCTCTCAGTGGCACTTCCATGGCTAGTAGGAGCACTGGTAACACTGAAATCCCTTTGGGTAGGGCTGGTGTAGTACATGGAGGGTAAACAAACTGATCCGTTTATGGGATTACCTCCCTTTTCACTAAGCTTCCCATTATTGTGACGATGCAGCAGGTTTTAAGACTCCATTCCATATTATCTCAGCAATGTCAGAGTTTAGGCTTTTACAGCACATCAAGGTCACAATCTGATCACAGCTTCACTCTTAATTATCCTGACAAAGGAAATCCAACTTGAATCACACCATGGTTTGGTCTGCTGGTTCAGAAAGGTGACTGGACCTGTATTCAATCAGTTTCACTCATTCAGCAGAGAGCTGGAGAGCAGAACAGAGGAGATGAGCTTGGAGGACTGCCTGATGGCTTTTGAAAAAAAAGGAAGCAGTAGTGGCAGATCTGATGCATGCTTGCTGGAGCAGACTTGGCCTATCACGTGGATTGTATCTGCATGCTCTTCTTTGCCTGTAATGGCAACCAGGCACGTCAGTTTTGCCTGCCCAGTTTCAGAGGTCTTTATTTTCTACTTAATGCGACTGGAGAATCAACAATCCTTGACATTCTGTCTCTCTTCCACCAGTTGATGATCCTATGCTGATTTTCAGAAGAGCAGTGGTAACTCTTGCCAGCTGCAAAAAGCATCCCTACCTCTTGCAATTGTATTTTATCTGATCATGTGGGCACTCAGGTTCAGTCTTGCAACAGTCTAATACCAGAGCCAGAGTGACCACAAGCCTTCTATTACACAGATTCAATAAAGCTTTAATTTATTCAAACAAGTACCAGAGAAAACAGATAGGTTCATTTATAGTAATACAGCATCATTCTAGAAATAGCTAGATTCATAAGTAAAGATGTACTGAATGGGGTTGCAGCATGAAAACTGCAGCTGAAGTCTATGTAATTTAGGGAAATAATCTTATCACAGTTATGTTTACTACCTTATTGTCATTTAAAAAATAGTTTTACAAAGTTCTAAACTGTTACATAACAAGGGCAAAGCCCCATCCAGCCTACAGAAAATCTGCCATTTTTGCAAGAGTCTATATGGTTCTTCCATTCAAACATCTCTGTTTTCACTCAAAGGAAAACTTTCACTAAGCAGTTAGTTTTCTATTTCTTTTCTCTGAGCATTCTTCATGCATTCATAACAAAGCATTTTTGGCAAACTTTTAGTCTCTGTCTCTTAAAAACATGAGAAGGTTGACATTATTATTATTAGGAAAAAAAAGTCACTCCTAAATCCTAATGCGTTTACATTTTAAACAGTGATTATTAAAAAGGAGGACTTTGAGGCAATGGAATATGGACGTCATCATTACAAAGTAACTGTATACCAGTAACTGCTGCAATACTGCAGACTTACATTTCATTCACAGACTTACTCTGTTTGGTTGTTTTTGCTTTTTCCCACAATTAAAGCATAAAATTTTCCTGCAGAAGTTCAGACATTTAGAATGATCAGCATTTCCTGATTTTGCATCAAAAAATAGATGTTCTAATGACGTTAGCAAGACTTAGATTGCTGCAAAGCTAAAAACCCAGGGAAAAAGCTGTCACATCTGGCAGCTGAGGTAAGCAGGTGACTGAACTTACCAAGAAAATAACAGATAAAAGTTTAGTGACCTAAAAATGGCAAAGTGGCATTAAATGCATGAAGAGACAAAGCCCCCAGCTGCTCAGCAGAAATCCCAATATCAACTTTTAAGCTAGTGAGTTAAAAATGCTCTGCTTCACCACTCCCTATGACCTCCCCATCAGCTGGTATGAACCGGGCAGTAAGAAGGACATTGTGGGCCATACCTGAAAGCCCTACACCTCCAACACAAGCACAAGGCCTTGATCCACAGCCACAGATTCAATTTAATGAATCAGACCCATTAAAAAAGTAAAACACTTGTTTCTCTCCCTCAGAATTCCATTTGTTTCAAAACCCAAGACAGCTATCTCAATTCACAACAGTACAGCCCCAAGTACTACCACAACAACATGATCTGCTACTTGGGTGGACAGCGTTCATGGCATCTATTCTGGAAAGTACTCCAGGTATCATATTCCAGATCAGAAAGTACAAAGGTTTCCTAGCATGTATTCTGCCATGAGAACAGCAGTTCTGCACAGCCTATTCCACTCCACTAAAATACTCCCTAGCCTGTGCTCGTCACTTGTCCACAGAAATACTCACACCAAAACCACATGCTCCATCATCATTTGTGGCTGCAGGCATCATAGCTCAAACAATACCTGTGTCCCATCCAGTCTCACATAGGTCTCAGTGCTTTTTAAGTCAACGAGACTCCAAGGAAGAGAGAAAGGAGGTTGGGAACAAACAAGGAGGTGGACAACATCTCAAAAGTACTCCTCCTTTCCTTTTCCAAGGCTGTCTCCCCATGCTTTCACACTGCTTCCTGACAACAGAGTATGACATTACATTCTGTGCCTTCTAAATAATTAGCAAAAAGAGGTACTAAGCCCAGTGGCAGAGAAAACAGGAAAACACAAAGCAGACGGAGTAAAAGATTCAGAGTGAGCCTTTGTGCCTAGCAGGCTGGATCCAGTAGTTCCCCAAACCTGGTCAGGTCTCCTGCTCTGACAGCTGCTCAAACTCTTAACACTCCTCTTGTTTAACTTCTGTCTTTCTAGTTGACGGGAAAGATCTGGTGGGACATATTGCACCAACTCCTGTGATGGTGGAACTCTGCTACTACAGTTTCCTACAGAACCTCCAAACTTCACAGGGCTGAACAAATCTCAGAGCTTCCCATTGTAGGTTTATAACCTGGTACAGCTGACAGATATACCCAAGAGCAATCAGAGAGGAAACAGCTATTGTTCCATCTAGATCACCCTCTTCCTTCATGCGAATTAGCTGAATAATTCTTCTTTCAATCACTGACCACTCAGGGGTTTTTTTTGCTTCTCCCTGCATTTTGGTTTGAACTTCTGTTCAGCCAAATCTTAGTCTTGATGGGACTCACACTGCTCTACTTCTGCACCAATATTTCATTCAAAACCAGGATTTTCAGAAGAAAAACATATCAGCCTAGTTGAAGATTTACTATGCAGAGCAGATGTTATTAGGATTATGATGGAGTTGAGCTTAATCCTATTTATGTTAACACAGCTTTGTGTTCCAAAAAAAGGCCAGGTTTACCTGTACCTTGCAATGAGAAGAGTAGTTCCCTCACCTGAAGGAAGTTGGAGCCCAGATTGCTACAACTCCCGGGCAGATCATTGTAGGGTGTTTATATCCACATCACTCTGGAAGACTTTGCGCGGCAGAAGATTTTTAAAGCAAGCTACTAGGGGCCACCTGCAGCTGTAAGGAACTTCCCAACTTGCAGGCACTTCTGCTGGCAAATTACAGGTTAGCACTTCAGTAAGCACAAGACATCTCAAAGCAGGGTTTTACTTTGGATCACTTATTCAGCACATACACTGAAGAAGTGCCTCAGACATACTGGCTATAGGAAAACAGCGACAGAGGTCAGGGGCATATACCTTTGTGCTTTCAATTGACAGTCAATGATACGCAGAAGGAAAATGCCCTTCCAGGGTAAGCACATTTTTCTTAGCAACTGTAATCCCTTACTGATAATTACAATTAAGTGTCATTAGCTAGTGTTTTCCACAGGTGAAAGAAAAGCAGCAGCTCTATTGCAAATCTCCTGCCAGTTGTAGGTGTCTTTGCTATTCTCATTTAATCAGTGCAATTCACCACCGGCTGCTCAGGGCTCATGTTTCTCCCCTCTCAATCATCAATCAGTCCGGTCTGCCTGACAGTGAATATAAGTAGATCCCAATGCCTTGATATGCTACTCTGTCCTTTATTATCAGTGCCATCTACATTATACTGTATCAGGTTAATTTTCACCTCCTCTGAGATTAGGGTATCGAACATTTTGAAGTTCTCCAAATCTACATTCTTGGACAAAATCATTCTTTAGCAGGCAGATGCCTTCACATGGCCTGACCTCCTTGCTGTCATGTTACAGTAGACTCCCATGACATTCTCTGCTTCTAGGAAGGATTAGTTTTCTGCGTTCATTTGATGAATTTGAATCCATCCTCATTGTTGTATTTAGGGGCTCAGCCTGGAAGAATAATATTTCTTACAATCTTTACTCTGTTTTTCCTTTATACCCTATGGACACTGCCCAAGCACCAGGTCTAATGAGGTCAATGATAATAGCGCTTATGCTATGAGGTTGGTGCCAGTATGAAAGGCATTTAGTGTTCTGTCTATTCAGAGCACTGAACCAAATGTCTGAAACAGCAAAGCTCAAATGCTAGCCTAATTGCATGAGGATGAGATGTTTAAGTCCTTGTGTGATTTCTAAGCTTTCTTACATCACCTTAACCAGATGGGAACTGTATTTTCCATCCGGTGTTCCTGCAGTTTGATTTTTTTTTTGTTTTGTTTTTGTTTGAGAAGGCCTTTGTAGAAGCAGAAAATAAAACCTCACAAGCCAAGAAAATGTTTCTCTCTGCTCTCAAAGCCAGCAGAAGATTTTTTTTCTCATAATTGCTCCTTAAATGTGATTCAGGCTGTTTAATGTATTGAGATGGCTCCTGATGCATCCAACAGTGAAAACCACCTAATTTTGAACAGAGTGATGCCAGAACGACCATATGCACCCACAGGATTCCTCTTTCATAAAACTCTTACTTTAAAGCAGAAGGTGTAATTTCAGTCAAAGTAACTTTTGGTCTGATGTGTATTTTCCAGATCTTCTATAAAAAGCCTGTATCAAGCACAGAAGATGACTCAGTACAGTGACTAAGCACAGTGGAAAAGGAGGCACCCATGCAGTCTGGTGCACACCAGGAGACAGAAATAGCATGTGAGCTGCAAAAGACCAGGAGCTCCTTAACCCTTCACCCATATCTCAGTGAAAATATGGACATTTCTAGCACCCTAACATGGCTGGACAAGGATTTTTCACTGATTTGCTGAGACCCAGAAAGAAGGATGATCCTGAAGGCTGGATGAAATTCTAGCCAGCACATGTTTTCTATAACTTCTAAGGTAAATTTCAAAGACTTAAGCAGCACTAACCTTTGGGAGGAGGCACCCAGCGATGCCCTTAACCCATGCTATATTCTCAGCACACTCACTTGGATTTTCCTCATCTTAATACAAACCGTGTCTTTGATGCCGTGAATTCACCTCAAGCAGTAGCCACGTTTCTATAGCCAGATACAAGAATATAAAGCCCAGTCTTCTGCTTTCTAATATCTTAGTCCAGACAACATTTTTGAAACCACTGAGTCTGACTGCCATTCATTAACTGCTCAGGTTTGTGCAAAGATTTTAGAAAGCAAGTGCCTGCAACTTTAGAAGGCTTTGGCCACATCTTTAGAAACACTTTCGAGACATTACTGTCATCCTGGGTGTTCAGGACAAATACAAAGAATTAAGTGCTCCTCTTTATACACAGCTTCCTAAACAGGTATCTTGCACAGGAACTAATCCTGCCCTTCATTTAGAATGTCAGAATGGGGAGAACACTCTCTTAGTCTCCAGAGGCAGACGAGCAGCAGTTTTTGCTCAAATCCTGGCAGTACTGCTGAGTTGAAATGACAGCTGCCTGTGGCATCCTGGCTAAACTACTACTTGTTGCTGGGAGGGGAGCGAGTGTCTGGTCTACTAAGAAAGCAGCTCACAGGCAGACTTTGAAATGCCAGCTCAAGTGCTGGAAAGTCTGTGAAGAATGAAGTTTAGAGCTGAAGGTGTATTTCACATGTTGCCTGAATGCAAACAACAGCAAGAATTTCCAGAGTTCCCAGATACCCAGCAGGCTTCAGGAAAGAAAAGGAGCATTGTTCTTTATTTAGCAGAATGCAGTCACTAGCCCTGTGCAGACAGGGAAAAGAAGTTTCGTGAAGAGACTGAGCACACAGTACGAGTGAACAGCACTTTCTGCATGCAAGAACCTTTCATATGAAGAAAAGGGGAAGGGACATCCAATGAGGTTGCCTGGTCCAGTATGAAGGGCACTAAAGGCACATTTAGGACACAGACTCTGTTCCTCTGTCCACTCTGCCATTGATTTGCTGTGAATTTGGCAGCCCACTTTACATCCGTGTGCCTCAATTTCTAGCTATAAAGCAGCTGTACTAATTTTCATGTTCCTTGTAAAATGCTTTGATAACAATAAATCTTTGACTGTTTCTGTGCAAATGCACTGTAATACATCCTGCCAAAGGACTGCCACTGTTATGCAACCAAGTAATAGCCTGGTTTAGACAAACAGTGAACCTCAGGCAGTGACTGAATCCTAACTGCTCAACCCCAAATGCTATATAACAGCAAATACATCCTATCCCTGCTGATAGTCCTATTGCTGTCCAAGCACAAAGGCTTTGGGAAAATTTGATCAGAATTTAAGAAGATAAGCAATTGTCTGCTAAAGTACCTCTCCATGTAAATCCAGGTTTGGGAAGGCCCAGCTGTGTTTTCTGATGTCTGTACTTCAAGCTTAGCAGAATAACAATGCAGCAGCTGCCCAGTCTCTTGCATACCAGACAGGCACCTGGCAAGTTTCAGGCAGTTCTTCAGATACCAGCCTTTCTCTCTCTGGCCAAGCCTTAAGCAAGCGTGCCTGATCATCCTGTGGCTTTAACAGTGTAGAGCGAATGTAAAATACTAGCCGACTCATACCAAAACAAAGCTGATGTGAAATGAGACTTGGCCTTCGTATGTGGAAAACAGCAGCATTTCTACAGAGCTTCACGTATTTAGTGAGACCCAGGCGCTGAGAGATTTGGTACCACAACGGAGCATTTAGTTACAGGCTGGTCCTCATGGGCTGAACTGGATGAGGGAGACAGGAGTCAAAACAGCACTCTTCACAGTGAATCCTATTACCTGTAAATAGCACTCATTGCAAGGAGAGGGTTAGTGCAAGTTTCTTCTGCTAAGATTGCAGAAGCAGAGACATTTTTATCACAGATCATGCATGTTACACCAAGGGGAACAGAATAGCTGCCAGAACAAGACAGTCACAAGTCTGTACTGCCAGAAAATTCAACCAGAAAAGCAAATCAAAATCAAACCCAGGCCATTCCCCACAGCAAGGATTCAGATATCAGATAGGATGCCATCTAATCACCTAAAGTCCACCAACAGATACAGCAAACCTTGAAGAGTGAGGGAGAGAGACCATATGTGTGGGAAATCCAGGAAATACCTACTGCAGATGCTACTCAGCTAAGAACCCCCTACTCGAGAGAAAATGTTACATGAAGCACTTGGTGAGGGGGCAGGCAATGAGCAGCCCACTGGGGAGAGAACACAGAGCCCCACCTGCACTCCATCACTTCCTGCGTGCATACCGCTGGGGAGTAGCAGTTCTCACATAGCAGAATGTGTAGGTATTTCCTCCTATAGACAGAGCCTGATGTGGTAACCTTGCATTTCACTTTGCTGCTGTTGGGAGACCCTGATCTCTGCTTGGGCTCTTAAAAATTCACTGCCATTTCACTCTCTGGAGAGAAGCCCATCCCAGGCCTGTTGTTCAACTTAATCTCAGAGAGAAAAAACAACTATTTCAAATGACTCATTGCGCACAAGCAACTACATAATTAGGATTGCCAGAGGAAATGATCTTCCAGCTTGAAGAAGAGAATTTATATTATTGTTAAAATATAGAGACATAAAAGTGTTGGAGCTGTCAGGCCCATTTCTGATACATTTCTGTGTGCTCCACCTGCTTTAAAGAACTGACAGAAGTGTGAGCGCGTATATCAAATAAACTGCATTTTCTCAAGCAGAGAGAATAAGGCCACATGGACAGAGCCACCACAGAGAAGACCCTCACCTCCATGGTTTCCTTACATTATAAACTACTGCTTTTAGCAGCCATACATTTCCAGGCCACCATCCAGCTGTGGGATTGAATTATTTAGGTGCCTCAGAGCAGGGTAAGTCTCAACAAACAGCAGGGAAACACCTTCAAGGCAGGGTAGTCCATTAACAAGAGAGGGACAGGAGCTGCGTGATGACATTCAACAAAAGTTATCCTGCTTTAGATGTCTGCAGGTGACACTGTCCACAGCATATTTTGGCCAGGGACTCTGAAAGGGAAGGGAAATACACTGTCCTGAACATGCAAATCTGTGATTATGATCATCATGGAGAAAGCATCAATCTAACAGATAATCTGTGAAGCTGAACAGGCATTAGCTGCAGAACAGACAACTATGCTGCATTCTCCATCCCCACTCATGAGCTAATGGGGCTGATGGGGTGGCTCTCAGCCAGCAGGATGGACAGAGAGGGAAAATAATGCAGAGGAACAAAAGAAGCTTGCCAGCAGTATCTTGGCTGTGTTGGGTAACTTTCCAGGCATGGATTATTGACCAAAGGCGCAAGATAGAGATACACAATCAACATCCTTAGAGAAACTGGAACTATACCTGGCCTCTAGATCCCAAGCATGAGTAGGTTTGCACCTGAGCTCTGCACGTATACCTAGGTGCTTGCTAGCAACTTACTTACTTGTGTATGTTAATACACAGATTAGTCACCAAAAGAGCCATCTGGCCAGAAGATATGCTCTATCAAAAGAACAGACACCGAATCAGCAAGGCAATTCCTGCAATACCCCAAATCACTGGTTAAGTCTGACTTTTTATCTTGAATCTGTTTTTATACCCAAACATTAAATTTAGTAGTCACTCACTTTCAGCCTTCTAACATCAGAGTGCTCTGCTGGGATCAGGCACCTTAGGACACTCTTTCAAAGAGATAGTGGAGGAAGTACAGTTGGTGGATCAAAACAGAAGGCACAAAATTACAGGGTTCCTTGCTTATTTCCAACTGTATCTGTGATGTGATGCATGTCCTTGGCAAGTCACTTAACTTCTCTGTACCGTAGGTTCTGCACTTGCAAAACTGATTTTACTTGTGTTATAATGTGAAGTGTGTGATGTGGCAGAGAGATCCCAAGTGGGAGACATGAGAGTGAATCTGTTTTTATGGTGGGAGAGGGACTTTTTTCCCACGGCTGAGCAGTCTGTGGGTAAAACCAGTCAGGGTGGGGCTAGCACTATAAAACTGTTCTTTGCTCCCATTATTAATTACATTATTAACATACAGGTTACTATTAGCTTATGCCAGAGAAGAATCTGCTGCCCTCAAGCACAGGAAGTGTAAGCTTGAGCTAAAGCAACACCTTTGCCAGCTAAAAATGAGACTGAGATACTCTGTGGAGGAGGATATGGAGTATTTACACAGTTACACAGAGCAATCACATGAGATCTTGTGCCTGGTGTGAAGCTGTGAGGCTCAAGTTTCATACTCAGTTTGTTTTCCTCATGGTAACTGGTGCTAAGCCTAGGAGCGATGTGCTTTCTCTGTGAAGAACTGAGTATGGAGGCAGAAAAGTCAGGTGGGAGCTGAGCTTTGCAAGGATAAGGAACCACTAAACACAAACAAAAATAAGCTATTATGCTCTAAGAAAGAATAAAACACACCAAGAGACTATCCTTGCCACCAGGTGAGGAAGCAAATATAAGCCACCTATTGGTTTCAGCACAAGTCCCCACAATTTTCCTTCCTTTTCTGCCTACAGCCAGGAAATCATGCTCGAGCATGGTTTGTATGATGCACAACCAGGCAGTGGCTGCCCTGGCGTTTTGTACTGAGTCCACAGAGAGTCCAGTGGAACTAATTTTTTGTGCACCCTAAAGAGGGAAGCCGACAGCAATCTGCACTCCCTATGCAGTTACAAGATTTCCATCTCTGGAATTTCTTGGTACTTCTCACTCCTTATTTTATGATTTATTAGTCTCCCTAATAGCAGAGAAAGTGAATAAAGAACACTTACAAAATTATGTTTTCCTGACCAAGATTAATTTCAGTCCCCTAAAGATTCAACATACAGAGCAAGATGGGGGAAAAAAACACAGCCAGCCTGCTCTTTGTCAGCCTCTCCCAAGAAATGTGTATCCACAAAGCAGATTTATTGGCTTTCCAACAGCCTTCAGCATAGAGACTTCATATACTCAGGAGACGAGTCAATTCCATAAAATAAACTGTGCTCCATAACCTTGCCGCTGTTTATATTATTTACTGATACAACAGTAAAGCGCTGCAAAGAGAATAAAAACCCTGAGCTAAAAACACCAGCTGTAAAACAACCACAAACTCTTAAAAACACTATTGCTGATTTTCGGACCCCTGGCTGAGCTGCCCAATATGCCCATCTGTTAGTAAGCAGCTCTCCCGCCCTGAAATCTTACTCATTTTTCTCCTTCTCTGTTCCTCAAAACACTCAAACCACTGGGAGACATTACAGTTCCTGAGACATGCTGCACAAAAGCTGGCTGCCTTGCCCTGGGAAGGTCTGTGTGAGACTTGGGACATGCATTTACCTCTGTGAAGCCCTCCTGAAGAATATCGAGTAAATTCCCCCTGGCCAAACAAGCGAGCATTCTCCACGAGCCCACCGATGGGTGAGGGTCTCAGAGGACACAGGGCAGATCCTCCAGCTCTGGGCACGACCTCTTCCTCCTTCTCCCAAAGACAAAGAGTTGGAGCTCATCAGGAACGGCATTCATAGTCCCATATGTGCAGCCCGTTACTGCACACAGATAGTTGAGCCAAAGTCAAGGCTTGCACTGGGCATGCTCGAGAGGGAGCTGCTGGGGGAGTAGCGGGAGAGATGTCATACGGTTCCTATAGAAACGCTTCAGTTTACAAGATGCAGGCCCAGGACTGAGTTGAGGAAACATCTGAAACCCATTTCAGCAGTCATACTCACACAAAACCCGCTGCGTAAAAGAGATTTTCAAACCCACCAAACACAGCAAATCCCTGTATGGCGTGGGGGCAGGGAGAGAGTCAAAGAACGGCAGGCAAATAGCAGATGCCTTGATTAGCTAAAAAAGCAAACGGAAAGATTGAAAGAGCTGCCAGCTTTAACTCTCAGCGATTGTTCTGCAGCCCCGAAGAAACAGCAGCGTGGTCAGCCACCTGCTAGAGACAGGAAGCTCCAAACCAGGTCACAATACAGCTAGTAACATTTGCACAGTGCTTGGCCCTGCTCTAGCTGCCCTAGCAATGAAGTTGAAAGAAGAAAAAAGAAAACTTTCAAACTAGAATTAAAGACAATCGTACCCAGCAAATTTTCTAAATCAATAGTAATTGCATTAATTCCAGAAACAAGTATCAAATATCTGCAGGCAATCTCTCAAACTTCATCACACTTTACAGGAAATGCCCAGGAGAAAAAAAAAAAAAAGAAAAACCTCTCAAAATAGATGAAGATATCTTCTGCCAGGGCTCTGGCTGCCAGTCCACAGAGCAACACTGCAAGTGCTTCCCAGTGATAGCAAACTGTGCCTTCAGATTTCAAAATACTGATGAAGCATTTCTAAGTGAGAGACACATTTAAAAACAAACATGTTTTTCTGCCCAAGTATTGAAGCATCTGGAGGAAAAAACACCTGCACAATTTTACCATTTTACCCTGTCACATGTGGAGGTGCAGCTAAAATACAGAAAGACAAGCAACAGGTAATTTCTCTCTGTCACCAATCCAAGTCATTAAAAAAGCATTCAGCCCCATGCCCCCATGACAAAAGTTTCAAATTATTTATTCATGTTTACCTTCCCTACTTTTCATAATTCAGTGGGAATTGCGATTTTTATGTTTTGATTGACTGTAACATCAGATCTGTTAAGCAAAACAACAGATTACCGCAAGGCTTTGCATAAAGTCTTGTAAACTGGCGATGCTGGTGGTTAGTACCTTGATCCAATTTACTTCTGAGACTCAAAATGCCACTAAATAGACAGCAATAAATATTTATCCCCATTTTTTGTGATGCAATCAAGTAGCTTATGCCTTTGCAATTTCAATAAAATTTCATAGAAAAACTGAGTGCTTTCCCCATCAGACAGAAAGTGACCTAATTTAAAAACAAACAAACAAACAAAACAACCACCACAAAACACACTCTGACCCTTTTCTGTGGACGTTATAATGCTATTCTTAAGTAATGATCTCAAAGAATAAGTTATAGTTATTATCAGTTTGTCAGTGCTACGTAGTAAACATACATTCGTAGAAGACTTCTAATATTAACAGGTAAGGATGCTGAGGTCATCCCTTCCCTATACCACTTCGATTTCTGGAACAACAAAAAAAATTAACTGCGGATGTACTGAAGTAAAATCAAATGCATGCTGAATGCAGAGAGAGGTTGCAGATGGCTGTTAGGTGTTCTCTGATTGTTTTTACAATTTGTTTTGTGAATTTGATAGCAGATTAAATATTTTATTATCACAGTCCCTGCAAGCTCTAGATATTTATCCTTGTCCTTTGAGGAGCAGAGAAGCCAAAGGCAGGCAATCGCTAGCCACAGACTTTACACTGGAGATATAACCCAAATTTACAGGTTTAAAAAAATAAATAAAAATAAGAATAAAGAGAAAATATGTTCAAACAGCATCAAAATGCAAAGCATAAATAGGATTTAAATGTAAAATGCACCGTTTAAATGAGGATAAGATTACACTGACACCACCAGCTCTTTTATTGTTTATCCTGGTTCACCTCCAAGGCATTTAGTAGGTGTCCTGTTGCATTAGCGATACACGACAATGAAGCACTTTTAACACTTGTGCCCCACACTTTAAGGACTACAACACATTTGGGCAACAGCAGGATGTAGCGACTGCCATTAAGTCACTGCTTGCAGTGCAACCTATGCTTGTCCGTAGAGCTTGTATGTTAAGTCTTGGCAGGCATCTTTAGTTTGTCAAGGATGCAGACTGGCTTTGTTCAGAAGCGGGACGGGGCTATTTGATTATCTAAAG